TTGACAGGCAAGCGCGAGGAAGGAAGGAACATGGGGTGGCGGGAGCGGGAGAGGCTAAGCAAGACAGAGAGACTCTCAAGATGAGCCCATGTTCTGTACAACACACACCCCCTCCCTCCCCTCCATTAGCCAAAAACGCCAGAAACGGCCTCGCTTCCGTCGCGGAAGGAATCGCACGCAAAAAGGCTGTACTGTGTTTTTCGCCGTGTCAGAAGCTTTAATTTCACCAGCCGCGCCTTAAGCATCTGACGAGAGATTGTTATGTGTTTCCCTGTATGGGCCGTGTGACGGGAGGTGAAGAAGGAGGAAGGGGCTCAGCCACTACGGTACACCTTTCAGTCGAGAGAGACGTCGTCGAGGTAAGGTGTCGGAGGGGGACGGAATCGGTACGGCGGCGGCGATGTTTCCGTTTGGCGTGTGCGGTTTAAACATGTTTCATGAATGTGATTTGGCCCACCATTAGGTTGAACACCTTGGGGATGCAAAGTGCTTTCTCCACGGCTTTGATTTACAAGATACACGCCATTCCTGATGATCGACCGCAGAAACAGCCTCGTGGGATTGGGCAGGGCATATTCTGTTGTCCCAGGTCTTTTCTGATTGGGTTGTTTGTTCCGGGTTTAATATCCATGAACAAGTGTTGAAACAATTTCTTGGTGGGATTGGAAAGAAGGAAGCATGTGGGGATTATGTTTTTCATTTAACAGAACCCAGCCGCAGCCTGTGGGGAAATGATGAGAGAAAGAGAGAGAGAGGCGGTGGCTCATCACGAAAAAGTCAACAAAATCGACAGACTATCGCATTTGCCCGTATGTACGAATATGTGCTTGGGTGTAGGTAATGGTTGGAGGGGGCACTTGGCGCAGTTGTCGTCTATCCAATCTGGGGGAATGCTGCGGTCCGTGTGTAACCATGACATGGTCCCATTTGGCGCACACCACACACACACACACACACACACACAAAACACACCCTGGTCACGTCAACTTTTTTTTCAGCTGGATGGCGATCATTGAATCTTGTCACTGCCGCTAGTCTGAGCGTCTGGCCGGACTTGGCCTTTTAGGAAAGAAGAGTTCAAAAAACGGTTTGCCCAGCGATGTTGAGATGTGACCACGGAGGAATTATCACACATGTGGCCGGCATCCAGATTCGTGGCTCGAGGTGAGGGAAGGACCATGGGCATGTTTAAGGGAAGGATTCATTCTTCTTGCCTGGCGATTACGCCCTTTTCCCTGGACGTTGAATTGACAAGATGTCGGTGATGAGGGGGAGATGTAGGCGCACGACACGGCGAGGCGCCTTGCGCTCCTCGGCGCTTCTGCGCGAGAGTGAGAGAGGTGTCACAAGAGAAAGGCGGCAAGAAGGTCGTTTATGTGTATTAGAGGCGCTGATCCCGTGGTAATCGTCATAAGGCGGTGATGGATGCCAGTCCATGTGTTGTTGATAGGAAGGGGTTTGTATGCAACTGAATGACACTGACGCAGGTCAAAGTAGACTCTCTGACTAGGCAGGCCAGCGCACTAGCGTGTCGAGATACGGGCGGCCGGGGGGACGGATAACGAACCTCTCACATCCCTATCCATGTTTGGCCTCTTTTTCGTGTGCCGTATTCTGGGATCTTTTGGCGAGCTAGCGCGGGATTTGCGGGTAGGATAGGCTTCCTTGATTGCTGTGCAGTAGATGGACGAGCTATGCTGTGTTTGGGTAGAAATTCGGAGGTTTGTTTTCTCGTGCGTGGATGACGATGTTGTCTGTGAATATCATGTCATGAGATGGGTGAGAGTGAGAGAGAGAGAGGTGAATGTCTCGCCGATTTGATGTTAGCCTTCTGGCAGGCAAGGCAGGATCGGATAGGGGGGACATAGAGGTACAAACGGTAGTGTGAAGATCACCACCAAGGCGGCATGCAGGAGTCGGGTACAGGATGACCGAAGTTGACCGACTTTCCCGGCCGAGCTGGCCGCAAGCGACCGTCCGACGTGACCTCCAAAGGCCAAGCCACCTGCCGCCCCTCCGCCGAGCCGAGTCGCTTAGAAAACCAGGAATAAGGAAAAATAGGGCTGAAGCATGCGAGTGCGAGTGTGAGTGTGAGTGTTTGAGCATGTGAGTTGAGAGGATCGTTTTCTTATGTGTCTCAGACATGGCAAATGATCTGACTGGGCAGAGATGCGCAGCACTACGGCGGCGTGAGTGTGTGGTTCGGCGTGTTTCTTGCTCCTCCGCGGAGAGTACTCGGGGCTGGGCGGCCATTGTTGCACCCTGCTGGGCTGAGGAAGACGCAGGCCGTGGTGCATGGTGTTGGACCTTCCTTTCGGCGCCGTGGATACACTCCGTCTGACCTCGGGAACACCCTGTCTTCTCATCCGTCCGCAATCGTTCCTCCCCTCTCTCGTCCGAGCCTAAACCAGAGTCAGATGGAAAAGACGCACGGTATCTCTATTTACGGGACGTTGTACAGGTCTTAGGGTGTGCGTGTGCGTGTCAAGTTACCGCATCTGTTGTATCGCATCGCATCGCATCGCAGGCCTGGGCTGGGCTGGCAGGCTGGTATTACATCCATGAGCGACCCCCCCCTGGAGGATGAGGATGAGAGCGTGTCACTGACGTTTACACCTGTGCGGTCGTATTGTGCTGCGCTGGCAAGACATGGACGGACTCATTGGCGAAGACGGTGTTGACGGTGATGGTGATGGCCCGACTATCAATGGACCCGTGCGGAGCGGAGCGTCTGGCCTACGTACCTCATCAGCAGCGCACATATGTACGATAGCCCGCGGGATGCGAAAAGCCCGCGGTGGTGTACGTTGGCCAGGGAGGTATTCCTTTTGGAAGAAGATGAGGCTTGGCTTTTTCGTGTAACCAAACACTGTCCCGCCGTGAGCTCACCGCCTTGACGTGCAGTCGAGCGTCTGGGTATTCTGCCTTGCCAAGCTTTGTATTAGATAAGCATGAGCTTAAGTAAGACCTGGCGTTCAGCTGTGCCGCCGGGTTTTCTGTGTGCAACCTCGGTGATCTCGGTGATCTCGGTGGTTTCGGTGGGATTTTCCCTTTGCGCTTCTCGTCAGGTTCGCTGCTCGCGGGAATCGGGGGCGCGGATGTGTGAGCGGCACCGAGATCGGAGGAATGAAGCTGGACGGCCCCGCTTCCTTGGGCGGGAAAAAGCAGTCATAGTGGGGTTCTTGTTGCTGACTGTGGATTCAAAAGTTGGTTTCAGCGAGCCTTTTCTCTATCTAGGTGGCTTTGCTGGACATGATTTTATTGTCAATTATTGTGTAAGTGCTTTGGGAGTTATCGAGGGAGCTCCAGAGGGGCAGGAGATGTTGCGAATGGGTGGATTGAGTGCCATTGAGTGAACCGTTGGACCTTGGGTATCCTTGAGAAGAGGGGTTGACGGCTGGATGAACGGGTAGTTGGACGAGGAGTCTGGGTTAAGTCCCGGCGGCGCGCTCCGGCGGCTTCATTTTCGCAGTCGGGGCCTCGCAGAAACGCATAACGTGATTGAGCATAAATACTCCTTGGGAGAAGACATGCGCAAAATCAAGATGCTCTGATCAATGCCTTGGAGAGACGTTTCGACAGCTTTCCCCGCACGAAGCTCTGGCAACAACATGTGGGGGAGAAAAGACCACCACATCAGGACATTTTATCATGTACCGCATCGGAAATGACATGGGAGGGTTGCTCTCGTCCAGTCGTCCTTGTTAACCCTTCCAATCACAGTCATTGCCTGCATTTTCCCCGTCCCATTTCCCTCCAATGACGATGATGATTTGCCCGCAAACAGAGCGGCGAGGGGTTCCGTTGTAGCAGAGGTCACGGCCTAGAAGCGCCTGAGACACTGCTTGACATGGCACCTCACCTCAGGTAGCTAGGACCCTGCCACTGCCACATGCTCTGCAGCACAGACTGGCGTGATCAGTTTGCTTTGCTTGCCGTCCGCTGCAGAAAAAACTGTTCTGTTGCAGAAGATTGACCTTCTTCATGCATCGGGGTAGCGTGACGCCAGGCTGTTGCTCACCACGAGCGCGAATTACCACAGAAGAAGGGGAAAAAAACTCTCAAGAGCTAGAAGAGTCAGCTTTAGTTCAGGCCCAAAAGCCGATATAGGATCACAAAAGGCTCCATCAGAGTCATTTAGGTCGCGAGCAGTGGCCGAAGAGAGGTCCGAGGTGAAGAGACAAGCAAGCCCCCGTTGTCTCGCCGCCAGGTCAAGGTTGACGAGGAGTGGCCGATGTTATCCATTGATGCCAACCCAAGTCGCGGTACTCGAAAGGCCGCAATTGAATGCGAGAATCTGCCGCATAATTCAGCGCAAGTTGCTAGAGCTCTTGTAGTACCTCTACTTTGCTCGCCGCCCACCCACCGGTCCCCGGAACACTTTCCTGTGACGATCTCGGCTCGGCTACCCTCCCGCTCTCGCTCGCTCTTCGCCCTCTCTCGACATACCTGGTCCAAGGTATTTTTTTCGTGGTGCTTGACTCTTGCTTTGACAGGTTTCAATTGCAACCGGCCATCTTTCTTCCCTCTTCCGCTCCTCGCCTCCTTCTCCTCATCAACGTCCCGGTCTCCTCCAAGTGGTTTGCTGTCAATTGCCTTTTGCTTGTCGCAAACTTCCCCTCCTCCAACTCCAACAAAACCACCGCACTCTTAATTTTTTTTTAGTGTCTTGTCGTGGCTTCGCGATCGTCAGCGTTAGTTTTCTAGTCCCAGCCGTCTCTGCTCCCGCGCCTGACACTCTTCACGCATCAAGCAAGCAGCAGCAGCATCCTGCAGCAAGCCAACAGCTCCGGAACCCAGTCATCTTGTTGCATCGCTTCCCCTCCTTCCCGTCCGCCGCCACCCGGAATCAGACTACTACCCGGTACCCAGCAGTTCAGTAACCGCGGCTCTTCTGAGAACCACCCCTTCCCCGCGACCGACCGACAAGAGCCGAGAAAAAAAATAAGGGAACCCCTCATAACAAAAACCCCGCGATACACACAAAAACCGCCGCCATCATGAACGCAGCCCGCTTCCTCCGCCGTCCCGCAACCTTCGCCCTCCGGCCCTCCTTCGTCGTCCCCAACTCCTCCTTCTCCGCATTCAACATTGCCCGCACAATGGCTACCGCCGCCAAGATCAAGGTCAAGAACCCCGTCGTCGAGCTCGACGGCGACGAGATGACCCGCATCATCTGGCAGACCATCAAGGACAAGTTCATCCACCCCTACCTCGACATCGACCTCAAGTACTACGACCTCGGCCTGCCCTACCGTGACGAGACCAACGACAAGGTCACCCTCGACGCCGCTGAGGCCATCAAGAAGTACTCCGTTGGTGTCAAGTGCGCCACCATCACCCCCGATGAGGCCCGTGTCAAGGAGTTCAACCTGAAGCAGAGTGAGTACACCTGGACGTATCCGCCTCCCGTCACTTTCTTCCCCCTTCTATGCGCCGGCGTTGTGGCTGCGTGAATCTGCAAGCAATTGCGGTTCTCCAGCCCCCAACCCCGAGATATTTGTCTCAGTGCCGCCGCCGCCGCCTGCTCCCCGCATTCCGGGCGCTGCGCCGGTAGCTGCATAAAATTTTCCCGGCGCGAGCTCCCGCATGGCAGATGCAGCCCCGGCCCCTCCCGTTCTCCCCGATGCCCTTAGAGTTGCAACCCCATGACAAAAATAAACGTACCTCCTTCGTAGACTAACACAATGGCCCCTCTCCGCAGTGTGGCTCTCCCCCAACGGCACCATCCGTAACCACCTCGGCGGTACCGTCTTCCGCGAGCCCATCGTCATCCCCCGCGTTCCCCGCCTGGTCCCCGGCTGGAAGAAGCCCATCGTCATCGGCCGTCACGCCTTTGGCGACCAGTACCGCGCCAAGGATGCCGTCCTCCCCGGCCCCGGCACTCTGAAGATGGTCTACACTCCCGAGGGCGGCGAGCCCCAGGAGATCGAGGTCTACAAGTTCAAGGAGGGCGGCGGCGTCGCCCAGACCCAGTACAACACTGACGAGTCCATCACCGGCTTCGCCCACGCGTCCTTCAAGCTCGCCATCCAGAAGGGCCTGCCCCTCTACATGTCCACCAAGAACACCATCCTCAAGAAGTACGACGGCCGCTTCAAGGACATCTTCCAGGAGCTCTACGACACCCAGTACAAGGCCGAGTTCGAGGCCAAGGGCATCTGGTACGAGCACCGCCTCATCGACGACATGGTCGCCCAGATGGTCAAGAGCTCCGGCGGCTACATCATGGCGCTCAAGAACTACGACGGCGACGTCCAGTCCGACATCGTCGCCCAGGGCTTCGGCTCCCTCGGCCTCATGACCTCCGTCCTCATCACGCCCGACGGCAAGACCTTCGAGTCCGAGGCCGCCCACGGCACCGTCACCCGCCACTTCCGCGAGCACCAGAAGGGCAAGGAGACCTCCACCAACCCCATCGCCTCCATCTTCGCCTGGACCCGCGGCCTCATCCAGCGCGGCAAGCTCGACGACACCCCCGAGCTCGTCGCCTTTGCCGAGTCCCTCGAGAAGGCCTGCGTCGACACCGTCGACGTCGACGGCATCATGACCAAGGACCTGGCCCTCGCCTGCGGCAAGACCGCCCGCGAGGACTACGTCACCACTAACGAGTACCTCGACGCCGTCGAGCGCCGCATGAAGAACATCCTCAAGCAGAAGCTGTAAAGTGCCTTCCAGACTTAGAGCGCGGCCGTTACACGTGTGATCTCCCACGAAGTTTCAGGAGGCATACGATGAAGGGCAGGGTTTAGACTAGACCCTTGACAACTGTAGAAAGGAAGAAAAGAGAAGGGAAGTGCCGCCTACGGCCTCTGTACCTATGGGCTTTAACGACATTGGGTATTTCTGTTTTGCGCGGTTTGAAGCAAGAACACAAGCAGACGGCATGGGTATACAGGCATCTTAGTGTGTGCGGATTGTATTTCTCGTTTTATTTGATATCACATCTGTTTAGCATTTACTTGCGAGGACAGAACGGAGGGCGGGGGAGAGAGTGAAGATAACCTTGGGGGCCATCTGTACATAGGGAAGCACCCAGTGGTAAATAAAGAAACCAACCAATTTTTGAACACAATCTGGATGATAGTCCACTATGCTGAAAGAAGATGGAGAAGCACAAAGAAAAAGGTGTCATTTGATTTGCTGCCTTGCCTAATTTACCCCTTGCGAGAAAATGCTCCCGCGATGAATTTCCGTGACGCCTGCCCTGCCTACCACCTGCATGCCCCATACTCGAGCTTTGCGAGGCTCAGGTCTCCCACCCGCCGCACAGCCAGCCCACCACGAAAACACGTACGTGCCGTCGTCTCCTAGGTCTACCTTTCGGAGCACTGATTCTCCCCTGAATGGTTTAGTGTATGATGTACAAGTCTAGAAAATAGACGATTGCGACGGACCGAGAAAGAAAAAGAAGAGGAAAAAACAGACTTTTCGCGCCAAGCAATAGTGCTCCTACAACGCGGCAAAGTAGCCATCGCACATCCATCGCACCATGTAAACTTCGAGGTCTTCGCATCCATGATCGCCTCAGTAGTGACGGAGCTCAGCCAGCCTTCGAAACCTAAGAGCCGCCCTCTAGTCGTCCAGGGCTGCGCTCTTACGCCCTCTCTTTGATACTGTGGGAGTTCCGGCGTCGGCTCCCTCGCTCTTGCGCTTCTTCTTGGCCGGACGTCCTACAGACCCCCTGGGCCTGTAGCCGCCGTCATCGTCGTCCTTGGCGGCTGCGCGCTTCCTCTTACCGCGGCCGGTAACCGGGGTCGCGACGGCCACGTCGTCGTCGTCCTCTTCCATGGCTTCCCAGGCCTCGGCGGCCTCACGCATAGCTGCAGCACGCTCGGCGGCGATGGCAGCCTTCTCCGCCGCCCTCTCGGCGGCCTTCTCTGCGCGAGACGCCGCGAGGGAGGCGCGCTTGCCGCCGCGAGAACCGCGTCCGCCTCGACTGCCCTCGCCCCTAGCACCGCCGCGGCGTCTGCGGCCGTCGGTTTGCGGTGTTTCGACGGCGTGCTCTTCGTCTCCTACGGCTGCGGCGGCGGCGTTCTCGGCATCTTGCAGGAACGTCTTGGGTGCGTGCTTACGGAGCCAGTTGTACACGCTCGTAGGGTTCTTCATGGCGATGTTCTGGGACAGGGCGTGCGGATTGGCTTCCGGCAAGGGAACGTTTGTTCGGGCGGATGGGGCGAGGGTCGGGAGGAGGTGCTCCCGGTCGATGCGCCTGTCGACATCGTAGAGATAGTCGTCGATGTCGTCTGGGGTGAGGAAGGCTGGGGTGTGCGATACTCCGGGGGCGGGCTCCATGTCTGCTACGACGGAGGGGGAATGCTCCTTTGCTTGAACATAGGTTGAATGAGGTACGTCCTTGAGAAGGACCGTGAGAGACTTCGTCGGCTTGTTGAGCTCATCGGTATCGGCGGCCTCGACAGCGGTAGCCTCGTCGACATCGAGCGGGGAATACGGCACATCTTTGGGTGGTGGTTGGGCGATGTCGACGCGTTTGTCGAAGGGAATCTGTGCTGAGGAGTTCATGTCCATGAGCAGATCAAGGATGCGACTGGTAAGAGAAAAGTCAATGCATTGTCGAAAGATTCAGGGGGGAGGCCGTTGATGGCATTTCTGGTGGCTCACTCGTTCTCGATGGCGATTTGCTTTGCAGTGGCGAGCGCTTTCGACTCTTGACGATGCAGCTCCTCGCAATCGTGCATCTTCTGGTCGAACGTGATGCGCATCTTGCGGTACTTCTTCTTCCACGACTTATACGTCGTCTTTCCGTCGCCTGCCCTTCCGTCGTCGGAGTCGTTGTGTTCGTCCTTGACGTCGCGGGCGACGCTGCCGTTCGCGTCTTCCATTGCGGCGGGCATGGTGAGTGCGTGTGAGGGTTTTCGAATGCTCGTTCCGCAGAGAAGTAATCAATCGCGACGGCCGAGATGGATGGAGTTTTCGTCGATTGGAATGTGAAAAGGAAAGTGGGCGAGCTACGCTTCAAATGGTATGGTCGTGCTCATCGGATACTGATGGGGCTCGCTGTTGTTGATGACATTGATGGATAGTTGCAATTGTGTACGGGCGACGTGACCAGAGTTGCGTTGGGGGTTTCCACGGGCGCGCGGATGCAGGGCGAGGCTGCGATCGGTCCTGGCAACTTCTCTCCAGTAGGAGCTTGGGAAAAGCGTCAGTGTCGCTGATACGCCGACAGTGGCGTGGTGATAAGAAAGGTTCATCTTGCTTGTGATTGGTGTGGCTTGAGCTGGGGTCAGGGAGTGTGGCTATCACATCTCAAAACTTCACATTTTGCCTTCCACGATCCATCACCACCAACTTTTCGACAACAATTCACAGCTTGGCTTTGTTTGTGAGAACCCAATACTACGATTTTTACGATATCAAGGGGTAACGAAAAAAAAGCTTCTTTTCAAAGATACCCAAACAGTTGAAAAAAAATTGAGCTGGTACTCTGAAAGCGAAGGAGCTTTCCTCACCCACAAATCTACCCCTCAGCTGCATGTTCCGCAGCTTTTTCAGAACTAGCAACCCTTTACGAATGGCTGAAAACGCTGCAAAGAGACTCAAGATGTCGCCCGTCACTATCGGCACCCACAACGGCCACTTCCACGCCGACGAGGCCCTGGCCGTGCACATGCTGCGCCTGCTGCCCACGTACAAGGACTCCAACCTGGTTCGCACCCGCGACCCCAAGCTCCTTGAGACCTGCCACACCGTCGTCGATGTTGGCGGCGAGTACGACGACGGCAAGAAGCGCTACGACCACCACCAGCGCGGCTTCACCACCACCTTCCCGGGCAAGGCGACCAAGCTCTCCTCCGCCGGCCTCGTCTTCATGCACTTCGGCAAGGCCATCATCGCCCAGAAGCTCAGCGAGGGCGCCGAGACCCCCGTTTCCGAGGACAGCCCCGAGGTCGAGCTCCTGTACAACAAGCTGTACGAAAGCTTCGTCGAGGCCCTCGACGCCCACGACAACGGCATCTCCGTCTACGACCCCAAGGCCGTCGCCGCCGCCGGTCTCGAGAAGCGCTTCAGCGAGGGCGCCTTCACCCTCGGCTCCGTCGTCGGCCGTCTGAACCCCAACTGGAACGACCCCGTCCCCTCCGACCCCGTCGAGGCCCAGCGCCTGGAGGACGAGCGCTTCGCCAAGGCGAGCCGGCGCATCGGCGAGGAGTTCGACGCCGACCTTGACTACTACGCCAAGGCATGGCTGCCCGCCCGCGCCGTCGTGCAGGCCGCCTTTGAGAAGCGTACGCAGTACGACCCCCAGGGCCGCGTGCTGGTTCTCGAGGGCCAGAGCGCTCCCTGGAAGGACCACCTCTACTCCCTCGAGGGCGGAAACCCGTCCGTCGTGTACGTCTTGTACCCGGAGAAGCCCGCCCCTGATGCCAAGTGGCGTGTGCAGGCTGTTCCCGTCACCAAGGATTCTTTCGAGAGCCGCAAGCCCCTGCCCGAGGCGTGGCGCGGATTCAGAGACGAGGAGCTCGACGGCATCACTGGTATTCCCGGGGGTGTCTTTGTCCACGCTGCTGGGTTCATTGGTGGAAACAAGACTTTTGATGGTGCCAAGGATATGGCCATCAAGGCGTTGGATCTGTAAAAAAGGTCTTCAAGACGGATTGGTCACTGGGAAGAAGGATATTGGGACATGGGACGGCGCATGGCATCAGAAAAGTGTCTTCTGCTTATCAATACATCGGGATCCCATCAATGCCTGTTTCTCGATGTTCGATAACTATCTGTGGCCTTCTGACTGTGCATGGTATGATGATATTAACACGGGCGTGACCTGACTGGAAAGTGTTTGCACTTTCGTTGGTTCCGCTGGGATGACCGGGGACGGCGTGGGTTTAAGGTAACCACCGGAGTGCTCGCAGGCGAAACGATCCTGTACGACGACCTATTGCCTTTCCACAACTCATGAACGAACCGGTTGAACGGCGGAGGCCATGTGCCTATTGACACAAATTCTCGATTTGGCTGCTTTGATGTATCGTTCTCTTCCTCCGCTTCAGCCGTTTACACATGTACGGAAAATCAGACTTCCTGGTAGTCCCGCGCGGAGCGGGAAAAACGGTCAGGAGCGCGGCGTAACACCGCCAGCGCCCCAGCCGTCTATCCACGACAGACAAGCCGACGACATAAGTCCACCTCCGCCCAACAACCGATTGTGCTTGGTTTCCCACCCATTCCAACGCCAAGGAGTTTCATGAAAAGATCAAGACTTCATCATAACATCGTAGTAGAAATCCAACCCCCCGACAAACAACCAATTTGCCTCCGGGGAGTTTCCGATAAACACCCGTACAAAACCTGGGGTAACAAGACAGAGAAAGGACAGCGGACTAAGGCATTCGGGCAGACCCCTTATCTTCGGATGGGGATGGCCTCGGTCTTTGCAGCGCCGTCAATGACTGGCGTGCTGTTCTCGTTGTTCTTGTTCTCGACCTCCTCGGCGCTGGTCTCTCGGTTGAGGAAGCTGGACTCCTTCACGGGGCTGCCGGCTTGGGCTCCGCTGGGAACGTTGGGGTGGTGCTTGGCGCCGTTGTTGAGGGATGAGGAGGAGTTGTTCACAGGGCTCGAGAGGTGAGGGATGTTCTCGGGAACGGGGTGCTGGCTGCCTACGGCACCAGTGTCGACGCTGTCGCCCTTGCCGGCCTTGGACATGG